TCCTTTATTTGACACCAGTCTCTTGCTATTTTTGCTACTTATTTAGAATTAAATTTTATATTTTTCTCTTTGTTATTATAACGTTATGTGAGCTACTGTGTCCAAGTAATTTCCCTTGTGGATCAATAAAGTTTGTCTAAGCCTAAGTCTAGGTCTAAGACATTTCCAGGCTAGAGGCTAGTTTTCGATATATTGCAAAATTCCTTCATCAGTTTTGAAAAAAATCATCTATCATTGTTGGGATAATAAAAACTGATAGAGACTTGTAACAGTATAAACGGTTGTTATTTTGAACTAAACATTTGGCTAATACTATAAATATAAAGAGTAGTTTTTAGTAGGGTTGTAACAATATCCAAATTTCTTGGTACAAAATTTTCACATCATGCATCTCACGGTACAATATTTATTGCAATATTTTATAGAGGTTAAAATTGTGAATATACTACTTTTTCCATTAAAAATGCCTTGAAAAGGTTTTGGTTCTGACATTAACCAAAGAGTCAAGATTTAAAAATGCTTAATAACAGTTATTTCATTGTGTAAAGTTGACTGAAACAGATGGAACTACATATACAATAATTCTTTGCTTTGTTTCTTTTAGCTTTTCTTTTTTTTTCTTTTAGCACCATAATAATGTAAGAGCAAAGAGACTTAAGATTCTATATATTGTGATGGTCCATGATATTATTGAGAGACTTTTGACAATACGGTATCACAATATTTCGGTTATTTTTACATTACTAGTTTTTAACTGGTGGATTTGGACATAGGCTGAACAGCTTGGAAAGAGACATAAACTACAAAGCCTGTTCGTGAGGGTCAGAAGTTCAGTGACATGGTTGTAAAGTGTGAAGATGCTGTAATATTATGCTTCATGGGCATATCTCTGTTAGTTGCCTTACATGTTGTTTTTCCCCAAATTTATTTTTACAGTTTTTATGTGAGCACTTTCATTACCCTGAATTTACAGTAATTCTTACGTTTTACATCATGGAATATTAAAAATGTCTGTCACTTACAATTTTCACTGCCATTGAGGAAGTACTGGGTTTAGTATGTGCTATATGTTTTCTATATATTTTCTACCCTTACTTAAATTTTTTTCTTATGTATTTTTCTTTGTATGTTATTTTTTAATCACACACATACATATATTACACATACCTAAAAAAAATTACTACACTATTTGAAAACTTACCATTCTGTCTCCTGTCAGAGCTAACCGAATCTATTGTTTTTGTTGTTTTGTACTTTATATATATGTAGTATATGTTTGTGTATCCTAAAATCAATGCATTATCAACAGCCATGCCTTTGCTCCACCTGCTCTTGATGAAGTGCTAACTGTACATTGATCCATCTTCATATGTCCACAGGCTGACCCCAGCAGAGGCCTGGCTGACCCTCCCTGACCCCTCAAAGGTACAGTGTTTACAGTAGGACATATTCAGAGGGCGTTGTGACGTGGAGACGGGCTGGTGGAGCTGTCGCACAGTTTGTTTTCACTGTTTGTTTATATAGAGCACGTAGACCAGCGCACTACAAAGCACAAGCAAGAGGGACTCTATCAATGAATTGTAATTATTTGATAAATTTTGCTGATTTGTGAAATAGACAAATTTTTAAAAAAGTTTTAATTAGGGGCGTGCATTGCCATGAGGCCGACAGTATCATGATATGCACATCACAATTCGACATATCACGATACATCACAATACATCACAATACTAAAACCCTCCCACTTCAAATCATATCATGTACAAATTATGAAATATTTATACGCATGACCAAACAATGGATTTCAACCAAACAAACTTGTACACATTAATCTACCATATATGAATACAGCAACATCAACTGCAAATGTAAATAGTGTATGGATAAATGTAAATAGTGTGGTGACTGAGACTCACTGGAATTAGTTTTACTCAATGATTTAATGGATGAATGACTGCATTAATACACACTGTATTTTATTGGCATGTACGCTATTTATAATATTATCCTGTCCTGGGTCTAAAGGTGGAAATTAGCAGTTTTGTAACAACTTGGCTCAAATATATTACCTCTTTGTGTAAGTCAATGTTTTTATGTGCATTGTCGCTGATAAATAAACAAACAAATATACTGCAATTTATCAACAACTACTTCTAATAATATAGTCAACTACCCCTATATGAACACAAAAGTTTAGGTATAAATAATGAGAACAGTGATTTTTTGTAAAAAAAATATTACTTAAAAAATAGTTTCAGAGGCATTTTGAATCAATTCAAGAATTATACAATGAAGTATCACAATATATCATGGAATCTATTTTTTTTTATACCCCCAGTATCAATTGGCTTTCTCTGTTTCCTTTTATCAAAGCAATTCTGTGTCCTGATAACCCTATGTCCTGCCAATCATCATATTATCCTTGCACTGTTTTTCCTTACTACCTCTTGTATATAGCTGAGATATATTTTTATTACTTTATTTCTATATTTTATTTTATTTTTACTTGTACAAATGCATATATTTATATAATTATGCCTTATTTGACACTAGTCTCTTGCTATTTCTGCTACTATTATTTAGAATGTATTATTACCATTTATATTTTTTCTCTTTGTTATTATATTATAGTGTGATGTATTGTGTGTCCAAATAATTTCCCTTGTGGATCAATAAAGTTTGTCTAAGTCTAAGTAGAAAGCATCATTTAGAATTGACTTTAATGCATTAATGAATTTCATTCAATAGATAATGCAGCAATTAACTTCACACTTTTTGATGATTTAAGAATAGATTTAACACACTTCAAAGGGTTCTTGAAAAGTAATTAGTTTAGGCTACTTTAGGAGTATCAATGCTAGCACTATAGAAAGTACAGATACTCATGTTCAGTAACTGTTAACCGATGAACTGATTGGATAGTCTTGAATAAAAAAGTTCAGATACATTTTTAAACTTGTCATTGGACATTACGTTCAAAACAAGCATTTTTTTCCAATAATGTACACATTGTGATCCAATTACCAGTATTTTAAAACATTATTTTGTGACAGTGCTACAGTTTTATTTGTTGATAAGCAAAAGGAAACTTTTTTATGTAAAACATAGATTAAAAGTTAGTGATTTAACAAAGAAATACTATTGTTATACTGTGTTTGGTTCAAACAAAACAGTTATGTGGACTATATCCATTGTCACATGTATCGCAAAATCACAGCATTATTGGATCTGTCTAAGATGAAAAAAAGAGCCCTGTCATTTCCAGCTATATTTGAAAGAGATGCTTGATATTAGTTATGACTGTATTTCAGTTCACTTTGTTTAGATGTTAGATTCCAATGTACACTTTTACTCCTTATACCTATAAAAGAGACAATAGTTAGTAACTGGCAAAATATTTAATCATATTTACAGACCACCAATCAATAACCAAGTACGCCTCTAAATTTATATCATTTATAGCTCTCAATAATGTTACTTATATATCCACAATATCCACTATACTACAAGTTCTACTCCAAATACAAAGTAACAAAGGTTAGCACCACTACTGCTACACCTACTAACACCACTACCAAAAATGTATGGAAAAAGTTCAAAGACTTCAAAAACAGTTTCTGGCATGCGTTCTCACAAAACATTGAAGTACCCCATTAGTGTGGGGTATCTGTCAAACCAGGCACTCCTGTCATGTCAAGAACCAATCATCTTAATTAAAAGCCATTCATTTCCTATCACTGTTCGATAACACCTTTGATTTGAGTTAAAACGCTACACAGTTATGCGGTCTCAAAGTGTTGATCATAACATCTCACTTAAGCCCCATCAAGGGAAATGTGCCCGCCATAATGACATGTTAGTTTTGGTTAAAAGCCTTGTTGTTTGGTTACACCTGATGACTCAAATATCAAAACTGGCTCTTCAAAGACCCCTCCTAATTCAAACAAACAGCTCTGTCATGCTCGCTCCTTCTGTTTGGGCTCCCGACTGCAACAATATTGATGGCTGGGCTAAAATTGATGGATGAGATTGACTGACAGTGAAAAGATGGCTGCTGCTCCTTGCTCCTTGCTCCTACCACCCAGTTACCAACAAATCAACATGTCATGGGTCCCTAACTGCTGCAACTGACCACTTTATTGCCCCGGACTTAGGTGACGGCGGGGTCAAAAGAACGTGAGAAGGGCAGATTGTGGAGGAGCCGAGACGATGGCAGCAGCTACAAAAATATAGAAACTTTTCAGTGACGTGGTGCTGTGTCCCCCTTGGAAACGTGCCCTACTTGTCTCTGGAGATGTGGATTGTGAGTGATGCGGAGATGTCAAAACCTGCCTTTTGTCTAGATGATTTGTTTCGCAGTGTGACCAGTTAACACAAGATAAAAGCTGAGGGGCTCGAAAAGGTGGGGGTCCAGGGGAGGGAATGGTTTCTTTAACACGTTTTTGCCACACCCTCTAAGTGCCATAAGAGGACTGACTTTAAAACACACTAGTTCAGTCTTGGCACAGGCTATAAGGGACACTGCAGCAAGCTGTTAGTATATAGGTTATGTTGGGTTTGGACTCTTAACATGTGCTTGTCTTAGAATTAAATCATCATTAAGGGGTCTCTGGCTTTCTGACTGTGCCCACCCACAATAGAGAAATTTCAGGGAGGGACTAGCTTTTTAACTGTGGAGCAGCCAGAGCCCAGTGTCACAGAGGGCTTGACAAAACCTGGAATTAACCCAAGCAGACCTCCAAGGGACATCCCACGTTTTTACTTTCAACGTGTATGAAGATGATTTGGACACAAGCCGCGAGGTTTTAAGTTATAATGGACGGACTTGGATTTTACGCACGATCGTTCCAAGAGCATTACGCAGCGTCACGACTTTGGTAACTTTAGCCAGGATCGGTCACATATGAGAGACTTGGGTGACTTTGGATGGACAGGTCAAGAGTGCAGTGTGGTGGATTATTTTACAACATCCTTCTGGGATTTATCTGCCTCGACGACACGGATGAGCGGGTGAACTGAGAGAAGAATGTATGGAATAAACCAGCGCTGTATTTACATGTAAGGCGACGTTCCAAAATAATTTTATTAATATTTTCGCCTCATTGTGTCATCATCCTAATTGTATTCTTCTCTTTTTTTTCCAGATCGTTTCATTTTTTCGTGCTCTGGTGCCACGCACAGGTAAGCGCATTTCTAACTTACTTTTACGCAGAGTAGCAGCAGTTATAAGCCAATACGCAAGCAACGTATTATTACAGATTAGAAAAGACACAATGATGTACTTTATTTTTCCCTTTGCATAAAAAGGGGGAGAATCACCCGTCTCCTAATTTTAACCAGTATGTGAGGAGCCAAGGCGCAGTGACGGACCAGCTGAGCCGCAGACAGGTCCGGGTCTACCAGCTCTACAGCCGAACCAGCGGCAAACACGTGCAGATCCACGGCAAGAGGGTCACCGCCACCGCAGAGGACGGCAACATGTACGGTAAGAGGACACTCGCACATTTGGCACGTATTTGATGCTCGGAGGAACAAGCAAAATATTGATTTAATAAACAGAAATGGGCGTTCTGACAGTTCCTATTTGATGCCATTATAAAAAAGTAATTACTCCCCAACTGTTGACTGTAAAAGCTTGATAAAGTAAGCTTGTGCATTACATTCTGGCTTTAATATAGTCTCATATTTCAAGATTAAATCCAAATGTTTTGTCTATTTCAGTGTTTCATATTTTTTGTCAATACTCAAGACAAGATAAGGAATTAGAAAGCCTCTTTAAAATTGAAAACCTGATCCAGATGCCTATTTTTTGTTAGTTCATTCAGCTCAAGAAAGTTCAGACAGGACCAAAACTCATCTTGTTAATTTGCCTCACTGCACTTGAACTGTACCTACAGATTGTCATCAGTGATAAACCTTACTATTCGATTTACTTGTTCTTCTCCTCTCACACTGTTTTTACTAACTACGAGCGTAATGATAAAGTTTAGTGACTCCTATCCTGACAGAACTAGTTGGGCCCATGCTGTGGAGACTTGTCCCCAGGCCCTGTCCGTAGTTTCGGCCTCCCTCCGTGCACCCTTTCAGTCCTGTATGCAAATTCACTCCCTGCTGTATCCTATGAGGCTGTCGTCTGGCGTATTAACACCTGATTAGCCCCAGTCTTTTGTTTTCAGATCCTCCAATACACACTGTTGTTGTAATGCTCAATGCCCCTAATTAACTTCAGGATAAAGTCACTTAACAATGTATATTCAGCCCTGTAATATCCACAACTAACATTTATTCAATCATTTTGTCATTTTTGAAGCCTCTCCTTTAGGCTGGTACTGACACTGCAGCTTATCCTGTCATTGAAGGTTTATCTGAACATGTGATCCAAGTCAAACACTTGTGCTAATTTAAATAAACAACTTCAAAATCATGGGCACTTTGCATATCTAAATGGGAAAGGGTTACTTGAATTTCAGTTTTTTTCTCTCACAGCTCGACTCTTCGTAGAAACAGACACTTTTGGGAGTCGCGTGCGGATACGAGGGGCAGAAAGCGGCCGCTATCTCTGCATGAACCGGAAAGGAAAGCTCGTTGGAAAGGTACAATTGCACTATAGTTACTACATGCTCACATCCAAGTCACAACTAATCAGTATTCATGGTGATATCATAATATGTATGGTAATGGGAATGCTTATCAGACAATATTAGAAGGGACAATCTGAAGCATTTAGATCAAGTAACATGTTGAATCAATAAATATTTAGTACTAGAGTAATAGTATTTTTATATGCTGATAGAAAACATATGTTCTTCTGATTAGCTGCTATAATGAAAAGGAAAAAAGAGAGTATAACAAATTTCAATTATTAAAGGTGCTCTACATTTCTGGTGGGGAGTCCACTGCCTGCTTTTCATCATGAAAATGTCACTGCTTTGCCTGGAATGTTCAACATATGGCATTAGACGCAATCTCCATGGAGAGAAACAGGTGACGCCACCAGACCAAGTTACCTTTCAGATCTGTGGAGAGGCAACCCTGCTCACAGTCAGAATGCATGAATGCAATAAAATACCAGTAAGTGAATAATTAAGCTGTGAGTTTAAAGTGGTACTGTGGAACATTCCAGGAAAACCAATAACATCTCCATGGACATAAGCAGGTGTCATACCCCTCCTAGAAAAGTTACTTAATGCATCTTTAGAAAAACGTTTTGTGTGGTGATTCCATAAAAAATTAGCAAAACAATATCATACTTCCAAAAACATGAAACTAAAGATGAGATGCAGCTGCAATTTTGTACCCTAGATTCATATGTCTATTGATTCATTCTACAAAATATGGGTAACTGCCCTCACCTCGTGGAGTTGTGGGAAAGTGGGCACCCCTCGCAGACGTCATGCTTTGGCAGTGCACTTGTATTCGTCCATAAGTCAGATGGACACTTCCTCTGTGGAAATGGAAAGATGGATGCCCGTGTGCTGTGGCCTCGTAAATCTGTTGATGTCCAGGGCTGAGAGGTGTCAAAGCAGCAGCAGAAAGATAAGAGGGAAAAATCAAAACAGGGTTAGAATGACATATGCTTCCTAAAGTAAAGACATACCAGCACGCTAAAAAATATCAAGGAATTTGAGGGGGGAAGTATTTAGAAATATTTCTAGATGTAACTGATAGTTTTGAAATAAATCAGTGCCAAGATATACGACAGGTGGCATAACTACTAGCATCACAATAACATGGTGATAGTTGGCAAACAAATTCAACAAAAAAACGGAATAGGTTTCAGTGTGATAAAAAAATTTACATCGTAGCCATAGCAATTAAGTATTCAGAATAATATAAAATGCCCTCAAAATGTCACCAGAAAATCAAAACCCATGAATTGCAGGAGAAGTAGAGCAGAAGCGAAACAACAATCAGGTTTAGTATAGTAGTATAGGTTTAGTTACAAGTTCTAATTAAAATTCAAATCAAATTATGTCTTCATCTAAAAATAATGTTCCCTAATTATATTAAAATAAGGAACATATAATAATTGCTCCTAATTATAAGAGAATCCTATAATTGTGAACCAATGATAACCTAACAGTTGATCAAAATTCACCAATAGAGTGAGCAATAAATCTAAAATAAAATATGTATATTTTTATATATTTACATTATATTACTTATTCTTTTATATTATTATTATATTCGATGTGTATAGATTTTTTTTTTGCATATTTTTTGACACCAAATAGTGACAAAAAATCAAACAAACAGAAAACTAACAATACAAACATTGATGAAGAATATAAGTACTGCAAACGAGTACAGACAGACACAAGCTTGTGTTCATATATTAGCGATTGTGTATTTTGCTCAAATTGCACAAGTAGTCTGTATTAAATGTTGAAAAACTGAGCATGTCAGCTAAAGAACTATTCCACTCTTTCTACACAGCCCAAAGGCCGGAGCAGGGACTGCATCTTCACTGAGATCGTTCTGGAGAACAACTACACTGCTTTCCAAAACGCCAAATACGAAGGCTGGTACGTGGCCTTCACCCGAAAAGGACGGCCAATCAAGGCATCCCGGACCAGGCAGAACCAAAGAGAGGTCCATTTTATCAAGAGACTCCACACAGGACCACCCCCCTTCCCCAACACTGATCACAATAAACATTTTGAGTTCATACGGTTCCCAACAACACGCCGAGCCAAAAGGAATCGCAAATCTCGAGTCACTTCTTCATCTTAACAAAAACAGCCACTGAATGACTGAATGGACTGATGAGAGCTGTGAAATATGGACACAGATTTATTTTTGTATATTTTTGATAGGTAAAAGAGAAAAAAGCAAAATACCGTAAATCTAAAATAATATTGTTGTTATGATCAATTGTAAATACTGAAAAAGAGTAAAGCAGATGCATTATTTAATGAGCTGGTGTTGTGTGAGTTTACTGTGGAGTTCTACATTGTTTTTTATTTATTTCCTATTTATTTAGATGAATGGGGTTTTAATAGATCTGACCTCTGTAATGTACAAGCCATTTTAAGCACAATTTGTACAAATGAAATGACAAAAATCAGGTGGAGGTTTAGTTCTGTGACAATCAGACTTACATGTTTTTAGTGGTGGAGAAATTGGGAGCAGGCGACGGAAAGCTACACAGACACGAGAAGAACATGCAAACTATGCACAGTAAGGCCTCAGGTACAGAGAAATAGAGACGTGGTGATCACATTGCAAAAGGTTACCATTATATTTATTAGAAGAAGTAGTCACTTTTTTGATAAATTTGGATTTGTAATCTACTGATGATAATAAATTTCAAGGCTGGTTGTGAGGTAAAGTGAGATGTTTTACATTGGGATGGCCTTTGTTTCTGAAAATTACTGAAAATGTTCTGAATAGACCTGACCATAGTATGTATAAAGAATGCAAAATACTTATCATAATAGGTGCCCACTCATATAACATTTATTTATTTAGCTGCAATTGTTCATTTGCACTTACGCCTTCATATGAGTGGATAATACAATCAATGATAAATCTACTACAATATGAGAACATCAAAGCTACAGGAGTCCCTATAGAAAAAGATCAGGGATGATACAAGGTCTCCTGCCACAAGGTCTCGGAAGACAGAAATACCACAAGATCGTGCACATATGAGAGAAATTATCTTGACTGGAAAATGGATTGGAAAATGTATATATTAGGAATTGTGTTAAAATCTTGTGTTTCTCGTTCTCATTGACCCAGTGTTGTATCTTGTCTTGTCTTGTGAAAATTGTGTCTCATCACATCCCTAAAAATGCTGCACATGTACATTTATGCATACAGCAATGAATAAGGTCTGTATCATTTAAAATGACATGGCACAGACTGTATGTTTTAAAAGCTTAAACACAATATAAAAATGGTAAAAGAGTAAAGTATGGTTGGTATGTTGCTGTAACATGCTAGCTCAGACCACCTGAGAACAACATTATAAAATACAACCAACTGATAAAATGAGAGCCTCCCTGTAGCCTCAATAGACTGACACAGTATTATGGCAGATCAGAAAGCTATTTAGAGCCATGCCAAACAATGCAGGTCCCTCAAACTCACTAAGACATGAGCATTAGTCTGAATTAGCCCTATTATAAATAATTAGAAACCTGTTTATTTTAATGTAATGAGATCTATTCTGGATGCGATGATGGAAAAACAAATGCATGATAAGCCCAGATACTTGGGTGTCTTTTTTGGTTAGTATAGACTTATTTAGTACTTCTTTAAAATAGGTTTTGTTCTGGATAGAGTTGGGTGAAATTTAGGTTACAGCTACAAGATCTGATCAAGATAAGCTTTTGCTTTGAAATCATTTGATATCATTTGATTTACTTTCTCAATATGTATAAGGATTCTTTTAATACTAGTCCTGGTTTAGTCTTTGTTTGAAACTGGTTAAGTCGTAGTTTAGACCTTGGACCCAATCAGACATGTTGTAGTCTTTATTAAGATCTGACTTAGTTCATTTACTAGTTTCAAAAGTCTGAAAATCACTAGACTTTTCTGACACCCCACAATGCTTCGGCCAACGCTGTAACCGGACACTACCTTTTTAATTTTAACTAAGTCATGGCTTTCCACATTGGCGGTTCACCCTGTCCATGGCAAACACAGCAGTAGGTAGCCACATTTGAAGTTTAAGGGGAGATTTACGTTCAACATGACTTGCCTTTAGGCCTATTATAAAACTGTAGCTCCTTATTCGGGAGATGTAAGGTGAGGGGTGAAGAATGGTCCCCTAAAGGTCGGACCATCCCTGAAAAACACAACATGTCTTAAGCCTTATGCTGCCAGAAATCAAGTTTAAATGGGACCAGGGCTAAACAGGGCAGATGGGAGTGTGTCATATGTTTTTAAAAAGGTTGCGTGTCCTTACCTGGTAGTAAGCAGGTGGGACTGGACCTTCATCTTTGTCCATGTGTGGTCCTTAGAAAGCATGGGTCACAGAGACTAGACAAAAACAAATGTCATATTATTATCATGGTTTTTCAATGTTACCAATGGACTCGTTAACTATCAACTATTTTTAAGGTCACCTTGAGGTGAAATAATCTAAAGGTGTTACTGATAGTGTTGTCACAATACTTTTCGATACTAAGGAAAAGACTTGATGCTCAAGATTGATTCTGATACCACGATGAGAATAATAATAATAATAAAAAACACTCTATATTACTTTAGGTAATAAAATGTCATTTTCAACATTAAATCGTAGTCCTTTCTTTTATATTACCATCCTATATGTAATCCCTGAGTCATCCAGGTATATTGTTATTATAATATATTGTGATATGTGAGCTACTGTAATAAAATAATTTCCCTTATGGATCAATAAAGTTTGTCTAAGTCTACGTTTGTTCCAAAGTCCAGATTTTTATACTAGTCTATGTGGTCTTATACATGTTCTGTACTATCTGTTCTATACATCATTCTAAAGCTATTCAGGAAACGTTCATTTTTGTCCCATGAAAGTGATTTTTTTTGTACCAATACTTGTTCAAAGTGTCTAGTTTCAATACTAGTTTATATAGATTAGTATTTTCAATACTTTTGACATCCCTAATTACTCATATTCATTAACTGAAAAATTAATATTGCAATATCAATTCTGATAATATTAAAAACATACTGAAGATTTTGGTGGAAACCCAAGCTTGCCTAAGAATCTATCATATTTTAAATATAAAATACATAACAAATCTATGGCCTGCAAGCAAACTATGAATCTATACATGCCATATTCTAAAGCTAAGTAATAGCAACATTTTATTTTGTTCTAAGTTGTAGCCTACCTAGCTGCAACGCATTTATCATGTGTTCACTGCAAACTAGCCCGCTCAAATAAATTCAAAGAAATTATGAAATAAATCAATGACTGGATATCACCGATTCATGTAAAAGTACTCCTTCTTTTAGGATCGCTGCCCAAAAAGATTAAGAATGCAAATTTAGACAAAAAATCTTGCAAAAGTACAAATCTGCCTCATGCATCGTTTGTTAGCCTTTAGCGTCCTCTAGCGCTCACAGTGGACAGGAGATAATGACAGTCACGTGGAAAGTCAGCTGACCCTTTACAAACAGGAAGAGGAAGCATCTCTACACTTTAATCACTTGTCATGTCACAATAGCCCACTTTTTAACTTTCATTTTACAGTTTAAGGATATCTTCGCCTTTAAAACATGTTTGCTGGAGACGACGAGGATGGAGATTTCTTATCGCCCTCCGGAGGGTATGTTTATGTAGCGTAGATGCTAATTGTGTCCTTAGATGTTTGCTAACCCCTGCCTCCTAGCTTGGTACTGCTTGGCACGGGTTTGGTGGTCCCGTGAATGTTTATTTTTGGCAGTGTGATATGAGGAATCTTTAATCATGGTCCCGGTATATTTTCCTCCATCGATTTTGTTATTTGCGAGCAATCGAATGTACCAAACAAAATCTGTGTTAAACCAAAGCATGTTGCAAGAACTTTAGTTTAATGATTTTTTAATGCATTCTATTCCCGTAGTTTTTTCTTAAAGGTGCACTACGAAACCTTTCGATTGGGGGTCCGTCACTTGCTTTTTTACTATGAATATGTCATTGCTCTGGCTAGAATGTTCCACAGCATGACATTAAACAGCTCTGCATTATATTTACTCAATTAAAGGTGGTTTATAGCTCATTGTGAGCTGGTTGCCTGTCCACAGATCTGACCTATAACTTAGTCTGGTTTGGTCTCCATGAAGACAGGAAGGTTTAATACCATACTGTGAAACATTCCAGACAAAGCAATAACATCTCCATGGAGAGAAACATTTGACAGACCAGAAAAGTTACTAAATGCAACTTTAACCTTCTTATTTTACAACATAAGATAAATAAGAACTATAACTTTATTCTACCAATGTGATGTTTTAATGAAAAAATACTGCAATTTTTTTAAACTCAATTAATAGTGCAGTCATATCACTAGAAAGTGAGTAGAAAGTGCACAGTTGCAGGTACATGTACTTAAAAAAGTACACTACAGTCTACTCAATTACCTCAACATGAGTATTTGTAAATAGTTACATTCCACCCCTGCCAGTTTGCAGGTTTGATTATTGAAAATTTTTGTTATAGTAGTAGTAGTAGTAGTAGCAGAGTGAAAGGTGCGTTGGTATAGTAGTATAGTTGTGCGATTAAAGTACTTTAACACCAATTATATTTTACTATAGTGAATATATTATGTTTTAATAAAGAAATTGAATGTATTTATTTGGTAAATACTTCCCCATCCCCTCTGATATCATTCTGCCCTCGTTATTGTCCTGTAACCTCTTATGTAAGGACACTATTGACAATCTATTTCTAGACGTTACCGTACAGCCTGCGGAATGTGGTTTTACAAATAAAGGTCACTCAGGAAAGCCAAGGTTAACAAAGGTTAACAAATTATGTCATAAGTAATATATAGAGATATAGTACACTTCAAGTCAGCTGAGAGGAGCCTAAAATTTCCTTCATAAACATACCACAGATTGACTGAGTCCTCTGTCCCATACTCCACTGCACTCACAGAGGATCACATGCTGTTTTTATGCCTACAGGCTACAGTTGGTGTAGTAGTGGAAGTTTTATACAGATGGGCAATAGATAAGGTTCTGAAATGATCTCTGTTTTGTGAAATGTATTGAACTTAGTACTTAATAGTAAATTTCAGCAATATAGTGCTTTCTTTTATCTTACCATGTGGTTTTAGTGGTCCATGGGCGTGTACTAGTGTGTGTGTACTTATACTTGTTCTGATGCAGCTGGAGATCACTTTAAAGCTATTCAGGAAAGGTTCATTTTTGTCCTATTATTTATTTTTCCCTCTCTCCTATCTCTAAAAGGAAATTTGATTTGATTGGACTCATAGACGTCAGTAGATAAAATGGATAGAAATGAGATAAGCCTTATTGATCCACAAGGTAAACAACTGGTCTGTCACAGTAGCTCAACTGTTCAAAAACAACATATTACAGTAGTGTAGATTAGATCTCCGTATAAACTAATGTAAACAAATATATATATACCAAGATGCAAATTGTAAACAGGCAAAACAAGCTGGGCAATTTGACAAAAAATTAATAATGATCTAATCCTTCTGGCAATATGCTCAAACACAGACACCTATCCCCACCCACTCCTCTTATTGGTCAGCTTCTGTCATACTCTGAGTGACTGACAGGCAGATTTAACCAGTCACAGAGAAATGGCATCTTTCAGATGCATCCTACAGCTTTAAGTACACTTTGAAATGATTTTAAGAATAGTAATAAATCAAGATCAAATCAAAAGCATTGGTATGTCTTCTGGCTAACTGCCCACCCTGTAGCAGCTTTCTTTGTTTTGCTGTTCTAAACTTGCCTTCCCCATGGTGAATTACATTTGAACATTACATTACATTACATTAAGCATTTAGGTGTTAAGCTTTGCTGAAACTACGCACATCCAAACCGAGAGTCCTCTGTCTGGAGCTCTCCTCTATTTTTACCCTGTGGCTCTCATGTAGATGCGAGCGGCATGCATCTCCTCACTGCATGACCATTGTATGATAGCAATGCTGTGTGAATGGGCTTTTGGCATCACACTGCAAAAAAGGTAAAAATATTAGAAGCTGAAGCATAATGATTTTGAGCTATTTTGACCAGTTCAGATGTGTTCAGTTGCTAGAACAATTGTTTTATTTGTTTAAAAGTTTCAGTGTTTTTCAGTTGACCAGTTAACTTATTCCGCTGATTTTCTTAATATTAGAAAACATCCCTTGAAGTGCACGGTGAGGGTGTCTGATACATACTTGTTTCCATGGTGATGCTATTGCTTGGCCTGGGCTGTTCCACAATATGGCATTAAACTTATCTCCATAAAGACAAGCGGCTTACTTCATCAGGCTAAGTTACTGGTGAGATCAGTGGAGAGATGAGCCCACTTAAAGTAAGAAAGAATATTTTGATGTATTTGGGAGCAATAATTGAGTAAATGCTTTAATCCCATACTGTGGAACATTCCACAAAAAGCATTAACATCTCCATGGAGACAAGCAGATGGTGGGCCCTCACCAGAAAAGTTACATAGTGCACCTTTTAAGCGAGCTGTAAAATTACAAATTTCTTTTCACAACAAGATAATTATTTTGAAATAAGATAATTTGATCTCATTTAGGCTGTGTACAGACAGGTCCTGGTTTAAGCAAAGTTCAGTACCAGGTTAAGTTTCAGATTTAACTCCAGATTTTTTGCAGTGCAGCAAGGAAAGAAGGAGGGAGGAGGAGGCTAATATGGCAGCTAATTCTTCTCACATGCTGCCTGTTAGCAATGTAGGGTAAATGCGTCTACCACAGCCCAGTACTGCACAGTTTTAGAGGAAGCAGCATCTCCTCCTCTTTGCTATGCTGCCAAATGTCCAGCTCGGCTTTGGTTGCACTGGAGGTCTACAGGATAAAGTAGAGGTGCACTGGAGAGAACACTTAGAAGCATTTGGATGTCCACATGACAGCATCACTCCAGTGTTTTAGAGTTGGAGATGAAGGCCTACAGGCTTTTAACATGTCTGTTCTGGGAGATAACAACGATTACCTGTGGAAGGAGTTCCAGGGGTCAGTAAAACTAATATTAATACACTTTTTTGCTTTTTAAAAGTAATTAGTACTTACTTTATTTATGTTACATTTACTTTACTTTTGTATTATTATATTTTGTGCAACTTGGCCATGTATTGGCCATTAAGGGGCAGCAGTGGCTTTAATTTTATTCAAAATGTCCAATGTCTGTATATTTTATCTCAACTCTATCCATCATCACCTAAAAATAAGAATTGTAGTTATATACTGTATATATTTTTTGAACTGAATCATGTCATTTTTAAACGTTCAAAGGAGTTAAAAGTTTTCAAGGATAGTGCTGTTTTGTCAAATTATACATTCTGAAATCACAACAACTTTCAATAAAAACATTGTAATCTGTCATCATCTAATAATGAACATTGCAAATATTGTTAGATAACGGTGCATCCCAGCATTGATATTGTCTCTCTTACTATTTCGTGATATTTTACATTTGTTTATTAAGAGATGTAGCATCTTGTTTTCAGATTTTTTAATAATTCTAAAACATTTCAGAATTTTTAGGCCTTTTGGCCAAAGGGTCAAACTGCAACTCAGTTTTCTGTATGGCAGACACAAAGAGAAGGCTATAGCTGTTAAACAATGGTGTTAAGATTGTTGGATTTACCCCCCAACTCTTGACCTCTTAGACCTTTGGAGTATTAATGCAGGATTAAGTATGGCACAAGTATGCACAGAAACCCCCTTAATGAAAATGCTCCACTGTCCATTGCATTGAACGAACTGGCTGTTTACATGTATATTGCTAACATACGTCATATCTCAAACTGGAACTAAAGGACCAGAACAGGACTTTCCTATCTACCTGCTGCTAATTTTACACTGCGTGACATTGGTGTATCTCCATGCTCTTTACAGGGCCAAGCTGGCGTCACTGTTTGGACTAGACCATGAAACCAGCCAGGGCAACGAATCCTTCCAATACACCGCCCCCAAGCAGCCACGCAAGACCTCTATTCCAGGTACAAACTAGGATTTTTGTTAGCCTTTTTATTACGTTCTTAAGTTTTTGATACCAGTTTTAAATACTGTCAGTAACAGTAAATACTGTTAAATACTTTCAAAATCATTGCACAAAGTCATTTGCATTTCATTGCATTTTTGTGTTCTGTAGCTATTTTAGCATTACCTGATTTTTACTTTAAAGGTACACTTTGTAACTTTTTGGCTTCGGGTCCTTCATCATCTTTTTTCTATGCATAAGTCATTGCTCTCCCTGTAATGTTCCACAGTGTGACATTAAACAGCTCTACCTTACTGTTACTTAATTACGGGTGGTGTTATAGCTCAAAAATGCTTAGCAAAACAAACATTCTGACTGTGAATAGGGTGTCCTCTCCTCAGATCTGACCTCAGATCTGTAACTTGGTCTGGTTTGGTCTCCATTAAGAGAGAAAGGTTTAATACCTGTACCGTACTGTGAAACATTCCAGAAAAAGCAATAACCTCTCCATGAAGAAAAATATTTGACGGGCCCTCCACCGGAAAAGTTACACAATGCACCTTTAATGCAATAGACCTGTAAAAAAAGGAAGTTTATGTAATAGACAAACTAATGAATGAATCTTTCTCTATATTCTCTATTTTATTGATCATAACAACACTCTTTAGTACATACATTGCCCTGCCAATTTTGTTAATTGGTATTGTATTGTAATGGCCTAATTTGAGAATGAAACTGAACCTTTTTTTTTTTTTTTTTTTTGCAGCACCACCCTCTCAGAAATCAGCGTCAACACCTGGAGCTCCTGCAGTGTTATTTGCCACACCAGTACAAGCATTCAGATAGTGAGTATAATTATATATGTATGTAATAATTTTTTGTACTTTTTTAATAGAATACAGTATGAGTATGCTTCTTTTATTTTGTAACATATTTTGAACAACGTTTCAACCCATAGCATGATACATTTAGACTTTAAAGGTGCATTGTGTAACTTTTATAGTGGAGAGTTCATCAAATGCTTTTCGACACTGAGATGTTATTGCTTCGTCGAGAATGTTTCACAGTATGGCATTAAACCTTTCTATCTTCATGGAGACCAAACCAGACAAGTTACAGGTCAGATCTGTGGAGCGGCAAGTCAGAATGTATTTTTGAATTATAAAACTACCTGTAATTATGTATTTATGAATAAATATAAGGCAGAGCTGTTTAATGTCATACTGTGGAACATTCCAAGCAAAGGATTGACATATCTATAGAAACAAGCAGGTGAATGATCTCCAACTAAAAAGTTATATGGTGCACCTTTAATTATTGTCCTACTGTTCTACTACTCTAGGGCTAATCAATTTATAATGTTTTGTATAATTATTCAATTATACAAATTATTAGATAACAGGTAAAGAAATACATTTTTATACTCAGAATCTGATTCAGCAATTTTTAAACTATTATTAACAATTTCAGTAGTAGTTGAGCTATTTCCACAATTGATTATAATATTAAGTAGTAGTAATTAGGGATGGGACGAGACACAATTTTTACAAGACGAGACGACAGAATTTTATATCACAAGATCTTGTCACATCACTAGTAGTAATAGTATAGTTAATAGTTAATCTGTTGTTTTAACATTTGGATTGCTGGTGACTTACAACTCTTATAGTTTTAAAAGGCAATACTAGAATGGAAACAAAAATATTACAAAAAATTACAAAAATGTGAGGCCAAAATTGCACCCGGAATTGTGAAATTTATATATAAGGAATTATATTACAATCTCGTTTTGTCTTGTCCTGTGACAATTGTGTCTCATCCCACCCTTATTAATCTGGCAAATCATTGATGCTCTAATATAGTACTGTATCCTCTTATTATCTGTTATCTTTTCTTTTGCAGTATTAATGGCCAATACGTAAACCAGGGCAAGCTCGGTGCAGCGGTACTGGGGACCCACACAACAAAAGAGGTGAGGGTTCAGATTTTAGTCACTTGGTTGAGATTACACGCTTTATACCATTTTAATAGTAATCCTTTTCTTTTTGTCTTCAGTACAAGCTCCTTCTGTATCTGAGCCAACAGAAGCAAGTGACTGCTGCCAAGATCCATACAGGCTTTGTGTTCACGGTGCGTAAACATCCCAAAAATGTGGGCGGAAATCAGGCGACAAATTGTAATTTGGGTCATGTGGGAATTTATTTTTCCTCCCACTCCCAACCATTTTATAATTAAGAGAAATTGTGTTCTATTACCCCATGTATTTGTCTACAGTAGGATATTTGTTTACAATAGTATCCTATGAAGTAAATGTGTTGTGAAATTAATATTGATATAATAGCTTCTCATTTACATATAATTAAACAAGATAGGGTTGTATTGAAAATCAGAAACTAATTGATAGGGATGTAACGATATCAAAATCCCTTGATATGATACTTTCACGATGTGCATCTCACGGTGCAATATTTATTGCAATATTTTGTGGAGACTTATAAAATTATAGATATGGTACTTTTTCCTTTTTAAAAGCCTTGAAAATGCCTTTTGTACTGTTATAATATGAAGAATTATGATTCAAAAGTGCTTAATAACTGTTATTTCTTCATGTAATCTGCACTGACAACACCAAAGGATCATGGTCTATGTAGTTCCCTCTGTTTTTTAACTATTGCTGCACCATGGCAAGGCAAGTTTATTTATAAAGCACAATTCATACACAAAGTAATTCAAACTGTGTTTTAAATTATCTGAATAAAAAAATTGCAAAGAGTAATAAAGTAAATAAAGTAGTGTAGTAATTCTGTTAACTGCATTAAAAGCATAAACTTTCAGTCTTGCCCAACACAAAATTTATTTTTATTTCTTATATTGTGTATATATTTTTCTCTTATTTTACAGGTTCAGCCCAATAATTACTGCACTTTTTATGACGACCAGCGACAAAACTGGTCTTTAATGTTTGAGTCTGACAAGGCTTCTTCTGATTTCTGTAAAGAGGTGAGCCCAATCAGCTATTTTAGGTCAAATTTTGAATTGCTGTTTTTTGTTGTTTTGTTGTTGTTGTTGTTTTTAATTGTTTAGTTGAATAGGGACAATTACACAAACATAGATTAACAATTCAGTAATTTGATTCAGGTATCAGTGTTTATATCAAAGGCTAATGCGCAACATCTCAGAAGGGCTTTAAACTGTTCACTTAAAAGTACTGGGATTATTGGATGAAAAAGATATAAATACAGTGAATGTGTCAAGGGAAACAAATATCAAAATATAACAAACATACAAACTCACACAAAGTCTCACTCTTTAACACACATGCACAGAGTTTACACATAGTGACATTGCTCTGTTGCATTAGTCAATCTGTTTAATCTAAATATGAACTGTCAGACTAATACAATAATATTATACCTTTCCAGAAGATGCTTGGAGACAGGATACTTTGCTGTTTACATAGAACATGAATCCTAAACAATTCACCATATTGATATTTTATGTTTTTTTTCTCCATATTTAAGGTATGTCTGGCCAAAGTGAACACCACCTCCTCTCTGGACTCTGTGGTGTCCCAGGACCTGTGCTTGGGAGAGGGGCAGGCCGTGGAGACGGGGGACTCTCTGGAGGTGGTCTACACAGGCTGGCTCCTGCAAAACCATGCCATCGGACAGGTTTACATTTTATACCTCACTAACTTAATATTTTTTGTAGAAATCAAGAATTGTACCCATATTTTAGCGATTGTAAAGAATTTTGTGTTTGTTTGTTTTTTATTTTAGATGTTTGACACAAACCAAAACAAAGATAAATTGCTTCGACTAAAACTTGGTGCTGGTAAAGTTATTAAGGTGAGTCTCTAAAAAACTGTGATATTTTAAAAAGAAATGTCCCCGTTGTTACTGTTATCCAGTAAATATGACTTTACTATACCAAAGCTTAAAGGTGCATTGTGTAACTTTTCTGGTAGAGCGCCCATCAAATGCTTTTCTCCATGAAGATATTATTGCTTTGTCTGGAATGTTTCACAGTTTGGTATTTAACGTTTCTATCTTCATGGACACCAAACCAGACCAAGTTACAGGTCAGATCTGTCTTTCTAGTCAGAATTATAGTTTTTCTAGGTATTTTTGAGCTATAAAACCACCAGTAATTGAATACATATAAGGTAGAACTGTTAAACATTCCAGGAACATTCCAGGCAGGACAATGACATGTCCATAGAAACAAGGAGGTGATGAATCCCCAACCGAAAAGTTAAACAGTGTACCTTTTATCAAATATAACACAGTTATATAACCATTTTAACTTAATTGGAAAAAAAATAGAAATTCACTGTTGTTTGGCTTTTAACGTTTGTCTGATTTCTTACTGAATCTAAAATATTTTTTACTTTTACAAATTCTTCCATAAAATTGCTATGAAAAAAATTTATATTAAAGGTACAATGTATAAGTTTTTGGTGGAGAGTTCATTACCTGCTTTTTCTATTGTTTCATTACTCTGGCTGGAATGTTCCACAGTATGACATTAAACATCTTTACGTTATATTTATTAAATTACAGGTGGTTTTGAAGTTCAAAATTACTTCAAAAAGCAGGCATTCTGACTGTGAGCGGGGTCATCTCTCCACAGGCCTGATCTGTAACTTGGTCTCAATGAAGACAGAAAGCTTTAATGCCATACTGTGAAATATTCCAGACAAAGCAATAGCATCTTCATGGAGAAAAGCATATGACAGAGCCTCCACCAGAATAGTTACACAATGCACCTTTAAATATGTATGTGACTAATCTCTCTGTATCTGGCCAGGGCTGGGAGGAGGGGATGCAGGGGATGAAAAAGTCTGGTCGTCGTCTCATCATTATCCCTCCCAACCTCGCCTATGGATCCAAGGGTGTCCCCAACAGAGTCCCCGCCAACAGCACTCTCATATTTGAGGCAGAAATCAGAAGGGTAACTGTCATTTAAAACTTTAGTGCTTTACTAGACCGATTTGTGTTTGGAATTTGTAATGACACTGTGTATTGATTCATTTACACTGATATGTATAATCCTCTAATTTTATAGATTTTTTTTTTTTTTTACTTTTTTTATCTGGATCCAGTCTTTATTTTTACTACTATAAAGACCCTTATTATTTATTTATTTGTTTATTTATTTATTTTATTTTATTTTATTTTTTTTAGGAACAGTGTTTTCTACTTGGAAGAAGAACTCAGCCTAAATATACAGGGCTTTTTTTAAATTTAATTTTATTTCATTTAAAAATAACTGTTACTTATTTGAAATTAAAAATGTAAAAAAATATATAATATTGTTAACTTGTTTTCTGATGAGCTTTAAAATTTGATGCACGTGATTCAAAATAAGATGTCTTCGTTTAATTCGTTCTTTATATAATCATCATCTAAATACTAACGCTATAGCTTAGTCCTTTAGTGATCCATTGCTTATGTTTAGGTCAAGTTTTCGAAGGACAGTGGCTCAGACCGGGGCAGTAGTAAGGACTCAGCTGCCCCCTCTCCTGCTCCTTCTCCAGCCCCCAGTGTGGAGAGTCTGGCCCCAGAGCCTTCCACACAACCTCAGCCAACCCCCACAGGACCAGGAAGACCAATGTAAGACCAAAACCATATCAGTAAATAGTGATGACGATGAAACTTTTATTTAAGTAAGCTGATTTTGTGCTTTCAGGGAGCCACCATTACGAGCAAAGTCAAACTCTCTCAGTGAACAACTTGCGGTAAATGGTCACTTTTATTTTTTTCCCCTCTTCTTTCCATGAACATACAATTAAAAGAACAGTGCCAACTGTCCATTAATTTTGGCATTCCCATTCACTCCTATAGTAAAGTGTTCTACTGTAAAACATTCCAGACAAAATGATGACATCTTCATGAAGGAAAGCATTTGACGCACCCTTCACCAAAAAAGTTACACAATGCACATTTAATGTTTTACACCCATGATATGTATAGTTATAATATGATAATAATTTATATTACTTTTCCTTTGACTAGCACCCAGATGCCACTAAAGCCAAGTTAATATCTCGTATGGCAAAGATGGGTCAGCCAATGCTGCCCTTTATAACTGGAGTAACAAGCCAACCTGAATCCAGTGACTCTGAACTTGAGGTGAGCAGAAGACTTTCTAGAAAATTTTACTTAGTTTTGCTGGCATACTGATGAAGCCTCTTGGATGTGAGGTGAAATTTCCTGGATAGATCCTTCCTGGATGACTGAAGGATTACACAGCTACTTAGTACTACAAGATTATACTGAAAATTAACTATAGAATTAGCCTCTTGAGTGTAACTGAGGAGGGAATGAATTAAAGGTCCTATATTATGCAATGTTGACTTGTGAGCTTTTAGCCATGATATAATGCTGTTACCTCCTGAAAAACATACCTGGAGTTATGTTTTGTTTCATTCACACATTCGTTTCTTTCCGTTATTATTATTAGTCCGTCTACATCTTCAAAGCTGAAAATGCTCAATTCTACCTTGTGATGTCATGTGGCTATAGTTTTCAATAGTTTGCACAATGTGGAACAGAGTGTTTTCTATTTGAGAACAGAACTCAGACTAAATATGCAGGGTTTGTATGTTAAACATGTATGAATGAAACAAAACATGAAGGAACATTTTAATACAGATTAGAAAACACTGTAATTTAGGCCCTTTAAACACCAAATTTTTCATTCATTTTATAATTCCTTCCAGGACACCAGTGGTTCAAGGCTGAAGGAGAGGCCAGCTGTCCCTTCTCCGGTTCAGATGACCACAGCTGCTTCAGGGTCAGGCCTTCACACGGTCCATCCCCACCCCCACTCCACCCCTGCTCCTTCTGCCCTCCTTCCAGTGAGCTCTGTGCCCTCCCATACTCACCCTGGGACTGTCCACGCCTTCCAGGTAGGACCATTTACTTGTACAACATGTAAAAAATAAAAGTGTTTCTATACGTGTAAAATTATATGCTATTATATTAAGACCATCTATGTTAACACCAATGTTATTGGTTTGATTTCTTGAGTAATTACAAGGCCACTATAATCTGTTAATTGTTATTAATTCATATCTATAATATTTATACAGCATTTAAGACATGTCTTTTTATGTAGTTAAAATTGTTAAGTGTTTCTTTTAAATACAGGACCCCAGGAAGACTAGTTTACCCTTGCTGCTGGATCCTAATATATACATTTTTAAAAATCCATAATTGAGCAAATATAACTTATTTTTCAAATTGCTAATATGAAAATGCTGTAAAACAACAAGATCATTGTTTAAAGATGCACTGTGTAACTTTTTGGTTGGGGCACCATTACCTGCTTGTTTTTATGGAGATGTAATTTCTCTGCCTGGAATGTTCCACAGTATGACATTAAATAGCTCTGCTCCACATTTATTCAATTGCAGGTGGTTTTATAGCTCAAAAATACCTAGAAAAACATGCGTTCTGACTGTGAACGGTGTTGTCTCTCCACAATCTGACTTGTAACTTGGTCTGGTAGGTAGAAAGGTTTAATATCATACTGTGAAACATTCCAGACAAAAAATAACATTTTAATATCCCCATGGAGAAAAACATTTGACTGACCCTCTACTAGAAACGTTACACACTACACCTTTTAATGTTTTCTAGCCATACCCCTACACCCAGACCTCCACACCTGCCTCTCAACTGCAGCCTGTGGGCCCAGTCTACCCTCCGCAGACTGTCTCATACATGGGTGAGACATTGCTCCATTACATTATTATGGGCTTTTGAATAGAGTTTTAGCAGCGCTAGTTTAATTTCATGTTTGTCCATAGGCTCTGGTGATGTTACGTCTTTCCTGATGACTGAGGCACGCCAGCACAACACAGAGATCCGGTTAGCTGTTTCAAAAGTGGGAGACAAAGTGGAGCAACTGTCCACAAAGGTATAGAAAATATGTGTTACATAGTTTTTTCCCTATCAATCATTTTATGTATCTGTACTTATTTAAGTAGTTTTTAAAGTGGATACTTTTACATTCACTACATTTGAGAGCATCTGTATTTGCATTTTGGAACAGGATTGAAAGTAAAAGCATTTTTAAAAATGTATTTTATTTATTTTTTTAAAACATTTGTAGTTTGATGAAATGAAAATATACAGAAAATAAAAACGACTGATTCAATAGTTTCTACTGAACAAAATACTGCACAAATCTTTATTATAACCACTACATTTGAAGTCTTATAAAACCTCAAAATATGCACAAAGTACTTTTATTTTTTACTCTTTAAGTACAGTTTTAAACAGATACTTTGATACTTTTACTTGAGTTTTTTTTTTTCTATCTTTCTGTATCTGTACTTTTACTTAAGTAACAAAATTGAGTACTATTTCCACCACTGCTGTAGATGTATTTTGCTTCATTCATACTTGTTTTCATGATTTTGAGGTTGTTTTTCTCTGAGCACTCTTTGTTGTCCATTTTTCCACCTAAAGTGATATAGGTAATCAAAACAAAAATGTCATGTTGATACAACTGCACATATTGACAAAGCCTCTTTTAACAGATTGATGAGCTGCAAAGACAGGGAAACCCCATGATGACAATACCGTCTATGTCAATGGAAACCTCGATGATCATGCAGAGTATCCAGAGAATTGTCCAGGTACAACTTCTTCAATGTGTATCATATTTATAATGTCGATTTTGGAAAATCTGAAATTATGAGACCTTTACCTTTTAGGAGAATGAATGTCTAAAGAAGGAAGTTTTTGACAAAAGTTCTCGAATTGAAGAGCAGAATCACAAAATTGGTGAACTCATCAACCAAAACCAGAGGTAAGTAGTGAGCTGTTTATGACCATATATAACATTTCTTCTTGTTTTGAGTGACATTTTTGGTGTTTTTCCAGATACATGGAACAGAGCCACCTGCTGCTGGAACAGAGGAATGACTCGCTCAAATCCACCAGTGAACACAACACACAAAAACTGCTGCAGGCCGAGCAGGAGAAGGTGAGAGCATACAGTGTTATTACTGTACTCTTTTTTTTTGTTTTTTTTTTTTGGTCGAATTAATTGAAGTAGCTTGAGAGTTATAAAGAGAGAGGCATGAGACTGGAGTGCAGGATCCAGAAACATGAGCACTCAACACAGTTTTGTTTGTTTGAATTTCCTTCAGAATCTACAAAGCCTCTATCTATATCTATTGTGGTAGTATTGTCCATTCAAGTCTGGTCATGCTTCCATTGTAGGGAGTATTGTAACCTCTGATTATGCAGGCCAGGTAGCAAGGACTGAGCTGGCAGTCTCCTTGGTACAGTCCACAGTACAGTAAGGCAATTTCTCCATCACTTATTACAGGATACACATTTTTCTATTTAAATACCACTGCCATTATTTATAGAGTTCTAATAAGAAATGATACGAGAACCTTTATTGTCCCACAGTGAGGAAACTCCACAGCTGCAACACAAAGTACAAGAACAAGAGCAAGAGAAGAATATGTAAGAAAAGAAAAATATGCAATCAAAAATAAAAATAAATAACTTATATTAAAATAGACTAATTATTTAATTAATATATTAGAGTTACAATGTGTTCAAGCAAGTTTGTATGAGAGAAAAAGAGAAACTCGGTGATGTATGGATTGAGACTCTAGCTCAGTTAAAGGTGCATTGCGCAAATTTTCTGGTGGAGGGTCCACCACCTGCTTGTCTCCAGAGAGATGTTATTGCTTTGTCTAGAATGTTCCACGGTAGAGATTAAGCCTATCTATCTCAAGGGAGAGATCTACAGGCTGCATTATAGGTCAGATCTGTGGAGAGGCAATACTATTCACAGAGAGAATTTATGGGTTTTTGTTTTGTTTTTTGTTTTTTTTGAGAAATAGAAACACCTGTAATGAATAAATGCTAGATGTGTGTTTAATGTTATACCATGGCACATTCCAGACAAAGCAATAACATCTCCATGGAGACAAGCAGGTGACAGAACCTCCAGAAAATCAGAAAACCAATAAAGTTGCACAATGCACCTTTAAAAGCCCAAGCAAAAGTTTGTAGATAAGAGGTGAGATGGTTTGGACAGGATCAGTGAAAGCAGACAACGTGTGGTGTCAAAATGTACATAGTATGACTTCAGTATTTGATAGTATTGGCTTCAATAACTGAATATTCTCTACAGGCATAATATTGACACATTTTGCTGACTGTCTCCTGTGCGTTTTTCTAGGAATATGTTTAATTCATGTAACTGGATTATCCTCGCATACCTTGACTATGTTTTCCACTAAACTGTATGCTGTAGTTTTTGTCGTTATTCAGCCTGACAACACTACTCTACAGATATAAAATGCTAAAATTGATCATATGCAGTAATTATCATGATTGGGTGTCTTGGCTAATGTCTTTAATATGACTGTGTAAATAATATGGTATGTATGGCCAGGTTTGCTTGACATATCTCCTCTCTAATCTAATGCTGAATTGAATAGCTGTGATTTCGTGCTGTTGCTTTGCTGCTCTGGAGAAACCTAGCTTTTTGCTGCTCTCTCTTCTCAGCCCCCTCCTCTGGACCTGGGTTTGGACCAGGTGAGCTCTGATTCTGTGTGTTCACCTGTCAGACTGGGGTCAAAAGAAATGATAAATGTTACAATTCCCAAGACAAGCCAATATATGAGAGATTAACTAACTGTCATACCATGTTTTCTTTGGTAAATGCTTACAATTATTTATTTATGTTTTAGACCAGCCAGATAAAAATAGTAGTCCAAAGAATCTGTAAAATATGGTACAGAGGAAAACTGTCTCTTGTGCCTTGCAGTAGTAGTATAAAACATAAAGAAGATATATTGTGCTTGTGTCTGCTATATAGTAATAATATATGACACCCATGGATCATTATCCTATAACTTGCATTTTTTAAATTGCAATATTAATCTAAAAGAAACAAGTCTGTGCCCTATAGGAAGTGACGTCAGCATATACATGTACGTTATCACAACAAAGAGCATAGCTGCACATCACGCTAACAAGCAGCAGTTTTTTGGGGGTGTAAATGAGGAGGGGAAACAACTATAGCATGTTTAAAAGAAAAGTAAATTTTGCAGAATAGATCTGCTTTGAAAAAGGTAACAAAACAAAAGAAAAAAAATCCAGTTACAACATAGAATAGACCAAAATACTGAATACCGCTTGCTCACTTTTACTATTTATATGATCTTTTTGGAAAATGGCTCTTTTTAAAGAAAGTCCTGGTCACAAATAAAGAAGTGTAGAGGGGTGTGTTCTAGTTTTTGTAAAATAAACTACTGAAATACAAACGATCAACAATAGAGAGATGAGTGTTTTTAATGAGAAGCATCAAGTCAGAACCCCATGATAATATAGTACAACAATGACACGTTATTGAACCAAAATGTAGATCCAGTATTGACCCCGGTCTGTCCGCTGCTAATGCTGATCACTTTGCTCCCATCATGCTTCATTAACAATTAACTAACTTTGATGTCTCTTTTTCTTTTTTCTTTTTGTCGCACATTCACTCCTCACCTCTTTACAGGACCATCACACCACTCGCTTCATCCATCCGGGCCTTCACTTTTTAACTGTCTCGAAACAGTCTCGTATTTTTCTCATCTTATTTGGCCCCACCCACTTTTGTCTCTTAATGCTCCTAAACTGCACTTTCTTGTGGTGGCACAAGCAGGGATCCCATTCATTTTAATGTAGAATTTGAGAAAAGTTTTGCAGCTAAAATTTGAGAAGCAGGTTCATCTGCAATCCAAAAACGTTTGTCTATCTATACATTAGCTTCTTGGAATCATTTTAAAGACAATACAGTTTGAGATGTATTTACCTTGTTCACATGTTTAGCTGCTAGTTGCAAGCAATTTTCAAAATAGTTCTGAAGATTCCTTACAGCCATCTCCTAATGTATTGTCTTTAAAAAGAACCCAAGAAGTTAGGTTCATTTGTGTAAAATGTTAAATTTTTATGTGCACCAACAAGTCAACACTGCACTGCTCTCTGGGGGGCTTTAAAACAGCTTTATAGTCCTTATTTGCTGTTAAGATCAGCAGCCTCATACAAAATAATGCATTTTTTCATGTTCCGGAATAAGGTTAATAGTCTGGGGTTCTTTCTTTCTCACCAAATTCCCACTGTCCCTGTTTAATTCTTCTGAAGGTTCGACTCACTGAGGATTTGGCTGCGTCCACGGCCCGTTTGGCTCAGCTACAGTTGGAGGTATCAGCCCATCAGCAGAAGTCTATGGAGCTTCAAACTAAACTGAACTCAGCACTGCAAGAAAATGAAAACCATGGACAACAGGTCACAACGCTGAGGAGTCAAGTGGAAGGTTTGTCTGTCTGAAGGGACATATGAAGTAGATTAAAGGTGCACTGCATAAGTTTTCTGCCTGGAATGTTCTTCAGTATAGCATCAAAACTATATAGCTTTTGTGTTCATTTTGTTTTAGGTTGTGTTTTACACTGCTCAAAAATACATTAAAAAAACATGCATTCTTACTCACTTGCCTTTCCATAGATCTGACTTGTAACTTGGCCTGATTGTGCCATCTTCTCAACCAGTTTTCTCAAGTTTAATATGCTGTGGAATATTCTCGGGAAATAATACTATCTCCATGGGGACAAGCAGGTGACTTACCCCAGAAAAATTAAGCAGTGCATCTTTAAGAGAATTTGTAGCAATCTCTGAATTTTTGTTTTATGTAAAGGCCTTATTTATAACTAAGATATAACTTTCTTAGTGCTTTATATTGTGTGTTTCAGAGCTGAAGGAGGAGGCAGAGAGATACCAAGCCCAGTATCGCTCGGAGAAACAGAAGCGCAAAGAACTGGAGCTAAGATTGAACAACATAGAGGAGGAGATGCAGGATCTGAAGACTGACAAAGACAGTCTGGAGAGAGTGAGTTCAGGATATGGGCTGTTAATGTGCAGTTACTACACAAGGCAATTAATTGCACCATCCATATTCTTGTCAATATAAAGCACGTTTATAAGCCTCTCAATTCAAGCCTGCTTCCACCAATGCCATTTTGAAGCCATTTATTAATCCATTCACCCTTTCATCCCAACAGTTGACTTTTGACCATTACATCTCAAACCCATAGTAAAAAATGTCACTAATACAGAAGCATTTTTGCTTTTATCTTAAATTAATGCAGGACTTCACATCATAAAATAGTATCAATCACCATAAACTCCTAAAATTTTGTCTAGAAATGTGTAAACTTTCCAAAAATTATGTTGAATTATAAAAAGTTTGCTTAAAAGGTGCACTGTGTAACTTTTTGGTTGGTTCATCACCTGCTTGTTTCTATGGATATGTCATTGCTCTGTCTGGAATGTTCCACAGTATGGCATTAAACATTTCTACCTAACATTTATTCAATTACCGGTGGTTTTATAGCTCAAGAACACCTAGAAAAACAGGCATTCTGACTGTGAGCACAGTTGCGTCTCCACAGATCTAACTTGTAACTTGCTCTGGTTTGGTCTTCGTGAAGATTGAAAGGTTTAATGCCATACTGTGAAATATTCCAGACCAGGCAAAAAGATCTCCATGGAAAAAAAGCATTTGATGAGTTACACATGAAAGTGCAATGTGTAACACAAAGTTACACATTGCACTTTCAAATTAAATGTGCCTAATACGTTGCAGACTCTCTTGGAGCGTAAGAAGAAGTGGCAGGCCGAGCGTCAGCACAGAGACGAGGAGCTGGAGGAGCTGCGCAGGAGCAATCTGCAGGAAATGGAAAACCTGCGCAGTCAACTCCGCAAGGCCCGAACCAGCAACGACAATGCTGCTTCTGAACAGGTCAAACTATACATCTTTATTTCTGTACTACCACACTGACCAAACACAAAACATCATGATCAAGGAGTCTTTTTAGGCAAATCAGAGTATACGCATTCTATATTATAGAATGTTTATACTATTAATATAGTATACCTAATCTATATTAATAGAATGGGTATACGTCGCCTCTGAACAGGTCACTCATTTGTGTTTATTTGTGTGTAGAGTCTCACAGAGTCCAAAATTGTATGAAAACATTATCAAGTTTTTTTTTTTAAACCAATGTGATTTTTAGGCTAATCAAACGTGACAAGAGTAACATCGTAAAACATCCAGTAAGAGTTTTCTCTAATGTCACAATAATTTCTAAATCATTTCTCAAATTTGTATAAAAATATTTCATTTTATCTTAGTTCTTGTGTAAAGTTTATAAAAAAGTAGAACATCAGGTCAGTGTCTAAGGGTGTGTTCACACATTCAGCACATAAAAATTGGACGTGGACTAGATCAGGGCTAAACAAGGACTAGAAGAAGACCAAACCAGCTCCACATCTAGATTAAAAGGTGCTCAATTTTGAGGACCAAAATAACGAGTGTGAATGTACTCTTAATATTGGAAAAGGAAAAAATAATACAGATTTTACTAGAAAGCGCAAAATGATTCTGTACTGGGAACAATACAAAGAAAGAGATTGTGGATTAAAGGATTTACCAGCCAGATGAAGTACTTATCATGCCATACCCATAGCAGCATTGTAATATTGGCAAGACTCTTAACCCACTCCCATCACAATATTTTGACTGACTACAACAGGACGGGGGGTCAGATGTCAAACCCTGTTATTGTGATTTTGTCACATGTCTGTTTCAAGTATATTCTGACTCATTTCAGAAGCCCATTTACTCACTGTGCTTATCTATTGTTTTTGTGTGTGTAGTTGTCCCAGCTGCAGGCGGAGCTGGAGGAGGAGTGGAGAGGAAAGTGTGACCAGGCAGTGACAGTGGCCAAACAGCAGCACAGCAGAGAGCTCAGTGAAGTGGCAGAGCAGAGGGATGCCCTGCAGGACCAGCTCAAACAACTACAGGACAAGGTATGAGTTACAAGCATAGACTGGATATATAAATGGACATAGTTAACACGTTAGTCGCCACGTTCCAAAAAAGGAGTTTGCATGCTGGCGCTTCTGGCTCCCACTGACTTAAATTAGAATATTGTGGTCCCTCTCTCTGTAACTGCAGCTGTGAGCCTCGACATTTTGGTCTTAAAATGTTCGTATTAACCTTGCTCTACTTGATCCTGCAAGCTTCATTTGACTTAAGACAAACGCTATGGGTGACGACACACTCGCTTTGTCCACTTCTTTGTACAGTCTATGGTTATAATTTTTTTGGTTTTAATTTTAAGCCAGTGATTGGTTCTCACATGACATACTGCATGACAAGCTGGGCCTCAGCATGCAAAACCACTCTGAAATCACTTGAAATAGTATATAAACAAGCTCTCCAAATTTTATACAAAAAAAACTAAGACGCATCGACACTGCATTATTTTGAATTATTTTAAAGAAACACAATGTATTAGGCTGGGATATTTTGATAAAATTTGCAGACTCTATTCTTGTGTACAAACTCTTACATGGTCCCTGCCCCACTCCTACTACAATTTGTTAAAAAAATAAAAATAAAAATCCGAACAGATCAACAAGAGCATGCTCCAGAGGTGATTGTATAATACCATCAAGGAAAAGTGCTTTTGGACAGGCTGTATTCTCTTTCTGCGCCTCTCAAACCTGGTGCACCATCCCAGTGAATATAAGTGAGCTACCTACACTCTGTCCACACAACTGGACTTAAACAGCACCTTTTGCACATCAGCCGGGGACTGTATCATATTTGTAGTCCCTTTAATAAATAAGTACAAATACAAGGGTTATAGTAGGAATCTCAGAAATCATTGCTTCGTGTGATTTTAGATGATCAGTGTGATTATAGATATACAATTATTTGGTATGTATTAAACAATTATAGTTTTCAAGTTTTGTGAGTCGCTGCACACTTTTGCTGTTCAAAAGATGCTTTGACCTACCATCTACTAAAGCATTATCAAATTACACCAGTTTGGGCCAAAAAAGTGTAAATAATGCCCGTATCACCGTCTACTGCAAGGAATTTCGCAATAGTATTTTGTGTATGTATTTTCTGGTTAAAAAGTTTTCTCATTACACTCCAATGAATGCATTCAGTTCGTTAGAAAATCTGTTGAAATCAGAAAATCTGGTTGAAAATCAGTATACCATATTACATCAGTGTGTATTAATATGAATAATGATTCTTTCTTCGAGACCAGTCAGAGTTTGCAACTCTAAAAGTACATATTCTTAGCTGATTTTATTTTTAGTAGCTCAATCACATTGTACTGTCCCTACTTACTTAAAAGGTGAAAGAGTTACGTTCAATATTTTCTCAAAGATGTGTGTACATAATTGTTTCTGTGTTTTTCCTCTTAGTTTGCACTTCTAAAACAATCCAAAGAGGCAGAAAACCAGACTTTACTCCAACATCAGGGTCAAGCTGAGGAACTGCATGCTCTTCAAGAAAAAGTATGAATGCAATAATGATCGAACAAATAAAATACCATTTACAATACAATAACAGTTCATGCATGTTTTAATACCTGTACTGTTTGAGAATAAAAACTATGATTTATTTCTACTGTTTAATACAGTACACAGCGTTGGAAAGACGGGCAGCGGCAGCTCAGGAAAAGTTTCAGCGAAGAGTGATTGAACTAGAGAGTCAATTAGAAGAGAAGGGGAGTTCAAGTGATACTGCTACAGAGGTACAGATTTGTAATACACTATATAAGCGATATTATGTAATGTTGTTATTATAATAAATAATGTTACTGTATTTTAGTTGTCATTGTATTAAAGGAGATTCTCTGGGTTTTGCAGGTGAAGCGTGTGATGAATGGTGTTTTCCATTCACTTCGAGGAGAGTTTGACCTGAATGAGTCGTACAGTGGACAGGCCATACTGGGTGTGATTGTGTCAACCATTAAAGTAAGTGTGAGACAGGATTTGTGCCCCCTCAAAAAAAGTCTATTTTTATTTAATCACTGTTACATTTAGGGCTATTGCTGGGTTTCAGATGACACCACAACATTCTATAAGTCAGTATTATTTAATACAGATGGGGGACAGCTAAAATTAATATTGTAAAAAATCAAATTTTCTTGGTAATATAGTGAGTTCTTGGGTCTGGTCAACATTTATTTATTTACCTTTTAGATTTTTTGTGACAAAGTACAATGTGATCAGTCGGGAAAAATGGCACCACCAATAACAACTGCCATATTTTCCGCAATATAGGGCGCTCTGGATTATAAGCGGCACTATCATTGAATGGTCTATTGCTATAACTTTTTTCACATATAAACCACACCGGACTATAAGGCACATTAATATGAAACACAACAGTTAGATGGGTCAGTCGGACTTTGTTTGTGGCGTTCACGGTGACTCTGGGCTTTGTTCAGTTGTGGCGTGTAGGGAGGGCGCTGGGACTGCTGGATTGTCGGCGTGTTCGCAGTTGTTCAGTTGTGCACTCACTTTTTCGGTTCGTTCCTCTGTTCCATTCCTCGTCAGCGTGGAGTGATGAGTGTGGCTGTGGGTGTTTTTCGCTGTGCGGTCGCTGTCTGCTCCGGGCGTGTTTGCGTGCACTGCGGGTGGTGCGGCATTGTAGTTTACTGAAGTCGTGCTGGGACACCTGAGTAGATTCGTGTATAGGGCGCTCTGGATTGCGGGGCGTATTTTTGATGGGGTTGGAGGCTTTTGAGTACGCCCTATGGTTGCGGAAAATATTTGTTATTTGTGCCTCTTTTTGAAAGAAACAACAATGTAAAAATCATTGTTGTCATGTGTATTCTCTCGCCCTAATCACAATCATTTTCTATAATTTTACTCTAATCACGATCACTTTCTGTGTGTTAACAGCCCTAATGAATGGTGTTGCAATCAAATAACAAATAATAACAAACAATGTCATAATTACAATCATTACATCGTGTTTACACTTATTTCACCATAGATAACAACAGAATACAATATTAAGACCTAAACCTTTTATGCCATAAAGCAAACCGTGTACATCTCTTGGAGTTTAGCTGCCTTTACTCATCATTACATTTTTTTATTTTTTATTCACTGTATGTATTTTTTTGACAGGGACAGTGTACATTAATCAACTGTTACAGTTATTATTATTTAGATTATTATTTATTATTTACTTATTTTATACCCAATAGAACATTATCAGATTATTTTAAAAGTGATGTGTTATTTTGCAGAATGTAACACTGCAGCTGCTCAGTGGTTCAGTGGAGAGGCCTTCAGTGACCTCCGGGAAAAAAGATGAGGACAAAGAGTCAGAAGAAACAACAGCTGAAGGAACGACCCAAGAAAGTGAAGAAAGTATTCACGTGAACGGAGAGAGAGAAGTCAGTGAAGTGGATGACCAAATGGATGAGGAAGTGAAAGAGCAAGTGATACATGTGGGAGAGACAGAGGAAGTTGATAAAACTGAATTAGTTAAAGACAATGAGGTTCAGAAAGTTGAGAAAGTTCTACCAGAAGAGAAGATGTCGGAAATTGAAAGCTCTAGAGACGTGCATTCAGAAGAAGGTACAGACAATCTAAAAACTACAACTATGGAGTCTACAGCAGCTGAGAAGGAGGAAGAAAAAGACATAAAGCCAGAAGAAGAAAAAATGTCTCCATCAGTTCAAACCATAGTGACAGAAGAAAACATAGCTAAACCATTGGAGAGTGAAAGCAAAAATGATCAGAGTTTACCAAATGAAGTTTCAGTTGAGGTGGTGGCAAATGAAAATGCAGAAGTCAAGACTGATGTGGAGATGGAGAAAGAGGAAGTGCAAGTTTCAAGCTCCCCTAAATCTTTTGGACCACCGACCAACCCCCCTCCTCCTCCTAACCCACAACAAGACGGCCCACCAGAAGTTACAAGGTGAGCAGAGGAGTAAAGATGATACTCCCAAATTGTTGTATTTTTACTTTTTGGTAAGAATAAACTTGGATGAAGCCAGTAGAACAATACCAATATCATTATCTCCACTTTACTTTTCCAAACAGAGAAACTACCAAACAAGAAAACTGTCACAATGTTATCAAGAGCACATATGCATAACCTAATCATTGCCATAACAATAAGTTAATACTGCTACCTACATAAATACGTAATATGTGTTGTTTCATTCATTAGGAAAGTCATATCTCTTAGACCAGATTCTACAGCTAAACAATATTGAAATCAAATTTTTAAAATTTATTTTGTTTCACTGTTATTTCCTCTTATTAAAAACAAATGAAATGAAATTATAACTTAATGAACATTACATTGTCATTTTGTTTGTTTTTAAATAAGTGCCAATTAACACATGATGGCTTAATTTCTCTTCTAAAGTTTAAACTCTGCCCCACATGCTTTAACTGGCAGTAGAATTGCCGAAAACACACACACACAAAATACAAGTTGATCACTGAAAATTTGAAATGATTAAATGATCTCATTTTGATTAAAATTTGATTAATTGCACAGCCAACTTTTACCATTATTCATAGATAATTGCCTTATAATAATGTATTGGTGGAACAACCTTGTCCAGCATTTAATTAGCAATGTTAAAATCAAGACTATTTTAAATATTTGATTTGACCCACTTCTGAAATGCCCTTCACTACCATATGTTTATTTATTCAAACTGTAACTCTGCATGCATATTCCCAATCATCTAACTGACTTACCTGTCCCCGCTAACTCTCTAACCCCTCACCTGTTTTGTCTGCCCCACCCTGCCCCCTTCACTATTCTCTCAGTCCGACTGGGAGAATGGAGGAGGAAAATGGAGAGGAGCCATTTTTCGATGTCCCTGTAAAACCCCCAGAGCCAGCCCACGAGGAAGAGGAGGAGGAAGAACTGGTAAGAGGCCATCTGTAGAGTTCAGTGGAACTCTCAGATACAAACTAACCAGTGATGGATGAAGTACTCAGTTTATTACTTAAGTAAAAGTACAGATACAGAGGCAAAAAGTTACTGAAGTAAAAGTCAATTAGATGAGAAAATCTACTCAAGTACTCAATTAAACAATGAAATGCCAAGATACTGAGAAAGAATTTAGCTTATTTTAATTCAGTTTTCTTTTCTTTTTTTTCTAGCTATTTTTGTGTTTGTTTTGCTCAAAGTTGGGATGTTAACTCAAATGAAATGTGCTTAAAATAAATCTCAGCCATTTCAACATGTCTCAAACCAGTAAAAAGTATCCACTGTAGAGTGTACTTAATAAAGTACAGATACCTGAAATTGTATTTAAGTATTGTACTTTTCCTTTTATACTTCATTATCTTCCACCACTGGCACTAACACATGTCCTCACTGCTGTAATGTTGTGTTTATGTCATGTTCTAATGGTTGATTTCAAGTGTTTGACAATAACAAGGTCTTATCTCAAAAAAAAAAAAAAAAAAAGAGAGATTTTTAAAGGTGCACTATATAACTGCCTGGCCACCTGCTTGTCTCCATGGAGATGTTCCACAGTATGGCATTACACTTATCTCAGTGAAGACAAGCAGGTGACATTGCTTTTCATGTGTGTGTTTGATGCACAAAATATCTGGGCATATTGTGTGTGAATGTATGATAATATATGACAAACATTTATTAATTACGATGGCAACTTATTTATTCACAACCGTATTTGTGTTCAGAGCTTGAAGGGGCGCCCTCCTCCAGCCCCACTGTTTGGCGAGGATGACGATGATGATGATTTAGACTGGCTGAACTGAGACAACACTTCAACAGAAAACCAATAGAAAACTATTTAGGACATGGAATATTGCTGTTTCTGAAGAAGATCTCCTGTTCATGAACTTTTTACTTGAAGTCGGACAACGGGGTGACAACTGCTGCCTTAACTGCATAAGAGAACAATTCAAAACTAATTCTGTAAAGAGATAGTTCAGTATTTTTTAATTAACATGTCATAAAAATACAGTTTGAATGATTTTCTAGATGTAGCATGTTCAATCTGGCTTGAAATTATAATAGGCTCTATTCATGCTTACCGGAAGACGATTGGAAACCTGTGGAAGATGAATTTCGGTGTAGTTACTGGCACTGTGTATGTGATAAAACCGTGGATTCATCAGCAGCGCTCTTCACAACCTGCCAAAACTTTCCATTGGGGACTTGACTCTAATCACTTTTTCGATGTTACTTACAGGCAGCTGATTGATCTGTGAACATAATGGGACACTACAATCACCTTTTTTTTTTTTTTTTTATTAAGTTCAACAAATTATAATACACAAATTAATAGGCAATTTATATATAGAAAAAGAAAGAATACAAGGAAGAAAACCAGGCAATTTTCTCAGTTTTCCCAGATTTTGTCAGTTATTATCGCCAACAGAGCCCAAAGGAAGTAGTCATCCGCATGTTTCCAAATGTCTTCTGGTTTTGTGATGCAAGCGTAAATAGAGCCCATGTGGATTTCAAATTTTGCAGTCTACCACACAAATGAATCCGTAAGTGCCTCACTCTATTGCATTTCAAAAATACTGAACTATCCCTATAAATAACAAGCATTGACACACGGATGTAAACTAAATGGTTTTAGATAATTCTGTGATTTCTGATAGTGTCTTAAACTTTGTACATGCCACAGTAGCAGACTAGTTTCTTTAATTAGCAAACTTCGAGCAAACGTTCCAATCTATACAATGTCTTTTATTTGTAATCTTGCTGCTTTAAAATGCCCTTTTACACAGATTTGCTATTATGACATTAATTATTGCAAATAAATGACAGAAAATATTTACTGTTGTTGTGCAGTCTTTATTAGGTACTAACTAATGTTGCGAAACCCCTGAAAATGTGTGAAATTTACTACTTGTACTTCAAACCTGCAGTATTGATTGAGCTGTGTTAAAGGTGCATTGTGTAACTTTTCTGACGGAGGGTCAGTCAAATAATTCTTCATAGAGATGTTATTGCTTTGTCTGGAATGTTACAGTATGGCACTGAACTTTTCTATCTCCACAGACACCAAACTAGACCAAGTTACAGGTCAGATCTGTGAAGAGGCAACCCCGCTCACAGTCAGAATGCCTGTTTTTCTAGGCATTTTTGAGATACAAAGTCACCTGTAACTGAATAAATATAAAGTACATCTGTTTAATTTCATACTGTGGAAGGCAGAACAATTACATCTCCATAGGAACAAGCAAGTGATGGACCCCCAACCCAAAAGTTACATAGTACACCTTTTTATGACTTGAGCAATTTGTTAATGAAATGTTATACTATACTATGTTAATATATGCACTAAAAATCTGATCCAACTGATTTGTGCAGTTTATCAAATTATTCAAACGCTGTAAACAGTTGCAAATTCTGTGTTTATTTTCTGATTTCTTTCTGATTGTTCACACACACTTTCAACAAGGACAGTTAGAGAAAAAAGAGACAAAAAGAGAAAAGTAATGACAAACTAATGACAATGAAGACAAAAATGAAATAATTTTAAAACAGATTTAAAGATTTTTTTTTTAAGGCATTTCACATTGTCTTCCAGCTACAACAGTTACAATAGTCTCACCATCCATTGATTAACTGACACGTCACCTATGATTTCTTTACAGTTCAAATGATTGGGTTATCTGATTATTATAATAAATAGTTTTGATTTTTACTGGCCATGTAAATGTATCCAATGCAGGGTAGAATAGTTAGGTTGTTTAGGGTTTTAATGCATAGCTCTCAGTTTTGTTATAAAGCTTATTTTCTGTCATTTGATCATGGAGTGTTTCTATAGGTAATTTATTCTGCTGTAGTTCTTCATTCAGACCAGCAGATGGCGGTGCTGCACTGCCAACAGTGAAAGTTTGGGTTGTGGTTCGCAGCCAAGCAACTGTCTAACCTGAATTTATGTCAACAATGGACAAACTTTAAATGACATTGCTTTATTAGATAAAGGTAGGTTATGTACTATCACAATCATATAATAGATAATGAAATATGGAGTATAGTATCAATTCAAGGATCGTTCGTGAGTCAAACATTTTTATTTCTAATGCAAAGTCAGATGTTCGCTAAAGTTAACCACGTGTTGTTGAAAGAGTCGTGTTTGTGCTGAAGCAGGATGTCTGGAGTGGTCCTGGATGAGGTGCACTGTCTGTGGCCCTCCTGCAGTCACACGTGCTGCTGGGAGTCCGAGCAGCGCGTCCGAGAGGGACACCCCAAGATCCTGAGGGACCCAGACAAACCCTTCACACGGCCGTGCAGAGGTAGCACAAATTACACTCTTTGCCCCCATCCCAAGAGCTTAAAGGCGCCTTACGTAACTTTTCAGGTGGAGGGTATGCTGACTGTTTGTCTCCATGGAGATCTGCTTTGCTTGGAATGTAATGTTCCACACTAGCATAACATATCTATCAAGTACTGACTGAATCATAGGTTAAAAAAAACCCCAATAAACTATAAGGCGGCACACCTCTCCACAGATCTGACCTGTAAATTGGCCTAATGGCATTACATGCTTTCCATGAAGTTTATTGCTATACTGTGGTACTGTCTGTGCAAAGTAATAGGATTTCCATCGAGTCTGTGGTAGACCCTCCCTCCACTTGAAGTTACATAGTGCCCCTATAAAAGTATATTGCACTTTTATATAATACAGGAGCTGTGGCGAGCCAGTGGTTCTCAAACTTTTCACACCACCTATGAAAATATCTGGGTTTCTGTGTAGTTCACGGAGCTATAAAACAGTACTATTCCATGTGTGTGACTTTTCTATAAGATTAGGAATGCAGAGAACTTCACATACCACCAGAAGCAGCTTGAATACCACCTGCGTACCACCTACTTTCCTGCATAGAAAGTTCAATATGTATCAAAGATTTAAATTGTCTAGTTCACATCGCAGAAGATTTGTGTCTGTTCCAGCTGTCTGAAGTGTGTGGACTATCCTGCATCCAAACCGGTGATTATGTGTGATAATCTTATTTCTACTGCTCCCTCAGACTCCAGGTTTCCCGTCATCACTTTAGTGGATGCTGCAAACTGGATTGACCAGGACTTCATCAGCCTGATAGCTTTATCCAGAGATGCAGCATCACAGTAGGTGGATTTTGAAGGTGCACCGTTTAACTTTTCTGGAGAGGGTCTGCAACCTGTTTCTCTCCATGGAGATGATGCTGGATTAAATTGTCCACAGTATTAAACTAATCTGTGTTGTATTTGTTCAACTAAAAGTGTTATTTATTGCTCACAAACAGACAAGTAGGTGGTGGACCATTCACCAGACAAATTACACAGTGTGCTTTTAAGTAGGCCTAGTTTACAAGAGACTATGTATCCAATATTGTCCTACATTGAAAATATATTCTTTCCGTAATAATTGAGTCATGATTCCAAATTTTAAACAGTCCAATGCTGAATCACGCCTATACACACATCATCTTACCGAACATTTTATTATTTTATCGAATTTTGCAGTGATAACTGAAAGTTGACCTGTTCAAGGTTAACATTTCCGATTGTGAACACAAGATGGCAGCATTTTTTCCCAGAAAGTCTTTTGACAACTGGTGTGAACTTGTCTGAGCAAATTATCCCATCAAGTAGAGCTATTTTCCGGTTTTGCTCGTAATTTTCATCTAATAGCCATATTTAAGCATTTAGACTGCAATTTAGCTCTCCTGGCTTTCCTCTTTGAAATGTCAGGTCAGGTGCGAGCGTTTCGAAAATTAACTTCTCGCTTTGAAGACGCACATGATTTTGTGATTGAACCGGGCTCAAGCTCCATTAGGTAAATAAATAAATAGACTTTCTTCTCTCACCTCAGGAAACATCGTCATAGCACCACACCCATGTCAGCCAAAATGGAAACCAGCCAGGACAGAAAGATGCTAAAGGTGAGTTATTGCCTCATGAATAACTGTTATTTAGGTGTAGAAGTTGAGTCCTGAGTCCTGGTTTACTTTGAATTATAGTATTTTTGGAAGACAAATTTTTCATAATTATTGAAAACTGAGTAAATATTTGCTTTTTGTTTATGAATGAGTCATATATTGTTCCAGTATTGGTTTTAATGACTGTTACTGGTCCAATATTGAAAATTTTGCCAATATTTGTCCCCCCCATTCTTTGTGTGCTCATGTGTCATTTTCAGTCTATCCTCAGTAGAGATAGAGATAATTGCTCTATTTGTTTAACCAGCCTTAAAGTTGCATTATGTAATTTTTTGGTTGGGGTCCGTCACCTGCTTGTTTCTATGGATATGTCATTGCTCTGCCTGGAATGTTCCACAGTGTGACATTAAACGTCTCTACCTTACATTTATTCAATTACAAATGGTCTTATAGCTCAAAAATATCTAGAAAAACAGGCTTTCTGTCTGTGAGCGGGGTTGCCTCTCCACAGATCTGACTTGTAACTTGGTCCGGTTTGGTCTCCATGAACATAGAATGGTTTAATACCGTACTGTGGAACATTCCAGACAAAGCAAAGTTGCGCAATACACCTTTAAATCTCAAGCAGAGGCTGATATTTAGTTTGGCCCAATCAACTGCCTAAATATCCGTAAAGAATGCTTTTTGAACACTTTATTCCAAAGAGAGTACTGCAAAAATGATACTATATATGGGGCATGGTGACACTTCCAGTTCCATCAACTTTCAATTGTCTTTACATTGAAAAATTGTCACCCCCTCTCTGTAACTTCTGCAGTGAGTATCATCATTTTGGTCTTAAATGTTCATATTAATCTGCTCTACATGATGGTGGTGTTTTTATTTTGCAATTTTGCCATGAAGAATATATATAATGCTTTTCTGATCGCCTTATTCCAAAGAGAGTACTGCAAAAATGTTACTACACCGGCCAAAAAATATCAACAGAAATTATCGGCCATTGATTTTCTCCTGCCATGAAAAAACAAGCCGATCTCTGCTCCTCAGTGAATCTGATCTGTGTCTTTGAACAGACAAATTTGTAAAAATGGAAATGAAGATGAATCAAGCAGCCAAAATATACCTGTATGTTTGCACAATCTTACAGTAACATATTTTGTGTTCTAGATAAATAAATGTTATTATCTTTACAAAAGTTACTTAAAGGTGCATTGTGTAACTTTTCTGGTAGAGGGCCCATCAAATGCTTTTCTCCAAGGAGATGCTATTTCTTAGTCTTAAATGTTTCACAGTATGGCATTAAACCTTTCTACCTTCATGGAGACCAAACCAGATCAAGTTACAGGTCAGATCTGTGGAGAGGCAACCCCGCTCACAGTCAGAATGCCTGTTTTTCTAGATATTTTTGAGCTATAAAACCACCTGTAATTGAATAAATGTAAGGTAGATCTGTTTAATGTCATACTGTGGAACATTCCAGACAGAGGAATGACATATCTATAAAAACAAACCGGTAACGGCCCCCAACCAAAAAGTTCCATAGTGCTCCTTTAATATTTGTATTGCCAATTATCAGTTACCAGACACCGCAGCAAGACAGAATCAGTATCTGCAAAAATAAATACATACTCGGTCCATATCGCACCATCCCTTTTGATTATTTAGATGTTTAAATGTGGTGTGAAATCAGAGGAGTTGCTACAGTGAGTCAGCTCATTCATTCAGTCCCAAGAGCACCAGTGTTTTGTCTTCTGCCTTTGTTATTCTCATCATTAAAACACTGTTTGTGTGAATTCCTCTGAAAGCAGCTCTGATACCCAAACATCACATTAGTATATTACAATGTGTTTGGCATCTCATGAAGGGGCCGCTAGTTGGTCACGTACTTCCTGGACTTGGCGTGT